GCTGAACCTCTCTGAATCGTTATATGGTTCTATAGACGAAATCAAATACATTTAAAGCATTTCTCAAAGTCAGAAAATGTAACAAATGCAGTAAAATACAACGTCAATAACAAATGAAAATCCCAAATCATGAATATGTAACCTAACAAAGTGATACAATCCAATTGCAAAATAATTACGTGCTCAAGTGCCTTCGTCACAATGCCCACTTGCAAAATACTTAGAGCCATTTTGTATAAGCGTTAATCCAAAAACAATCGATTAAATACACAAAGGCAATTATTATCATTTTTTTACAGTTTTCTCTTCTTCCGCCATTCTGCAGTTGGTTGTTATTGGGGGCACCTGAGGAGCCTCAGCCAATCAGAAACACTCTCTGTGTGTCAGTCATTTTGAGGCGTGGCCTTTTTAGTCCAGTCTAAGGTGGTTTGCTGGTCTAAGTCTGTTTATTCTGGTGTGTTTTGCTGATAGGAGATCCACGGTCAAACCAGCATAAATACCACACACACAAACTGAAAACAGGCTGACGGACATTATTTATTAAATCATCTGCAATGCTTACAGTGCCTTTCCAGTCGCTCTGAGGATGTGATTGGATTTCCTCCTCATCCCTGATGAACTCATTACAGGGCAGCAGCTGCAGCAGGGGCTGATGGGAAGGCGTTCAGCGGTGACGTCACCGGGCTGGGTGTTCCTGTCAGTGACCTGAGGAGAGCACCGGGGTGCAGCGGCCCGTTACCTGCCCTGAAACCCACCGACAGCCACACGGTCCTCATCAGGGTGAGTTTAAGACCCCAACATCAAGGGTTTCAGCGCAGCATTCGCACACCTCAGCGCTCCAGTGAGTGTGAATGCTATGGCGCTTCGCTTTGAGCCTCCGAAATGGCAAATATTTGTAAATCAAAGCTTAACAGAAATAGCACTAATGAATGAGTGAAACACCTGTGATGAAAGGGACAAACACAAAGGCACAGCTATTGTGATATTAGCTACACAATTAATTATTATATACAAATGTTATTGTAGAAGTAGAAGTTGAGGCTGAATAGGAGACATCTGAAGGTCTGTATTTGTTTCACAGACTGATTTGTTGCAGCCTGGTGAAGTTCCAGAGCCGTATCCGTCTCCAGATCAGCTGCAGGACCGCTGGGACGACACACACGTGAAACTACCCTGCTCCGAGCACAACCTGTTCCCTGTGGACCGTACGGTCAGACTAACACTCACTCACACACACACACACACACACACACACACACACACACTCACACACACACACACTCACTCACTCACACAGTCAGGAGTTTCGGCCAGGTCCAGCAATGTGCGAACGTTCCACGAAGCAATGCTTAGCTTATTTTTCACTTTAATTTTTCAACCGCAAGGGGGCATGCTCCGACGGTTGCGGCTTACCGTACGGAGTGTGGGGAGCAGACAATTTTTAGACCACCTTTTCCAGGTCCTTCCCCATCACAGGGGTGAGCAGTGTGGGGCTGCTCAGTCGCAGTGGAAGCTGCCGAAAAGACGAGCTGCTCCATCCCGCAGTCCTAACGACCATCACTCCATTGCCGCCTGTGTGCATGGTTTGGCTAGACAGTCCCAGCCACATCCTTGGCCTGTGCCCACCACCATTCCACATCGCCACAGGACTTTAAATTTTTTTTTTTAAGGGAGAGGAGGGAAGGGGAGGGGAGGGGAGCAAGAAGCTTGCGCATAGGTATAGATTAGGGTGGGAGTGTGGGTGCGCAGACCTCACTCCCACCATCTTCACTCCTACCAGATAGACCTCCAGTGGCATGAGAGAACCCATGATGACCTTCGACTGGCAGGAAGTTGCAGGGGGCTGCCGGTAGTCCGGTCAGTTGGACTCCGCCTATGCCTGCCCTCAAGTGCAGGTTTGTTTTCAGGGTTTGCTCCCCTAGCCACGGTACCCTCCCGAGTTAACCCACGTGGCTGTGGGATTGCCTTCTTCCGCCTTCCCAGCCGCTGTAATGGTTCACACACCACCATCTTCCACCTGTGCCGTCGTTGAGGTCTTTACTATTTACCCATAGCTGGGACAGTGGTTGATGGGCATCAGGGCATTTCCACTCATCGATGGGCCTGCATGCCACGTCTCTGGGGCCCACTTCTGCTCCGAGATCCCGTACAACTTAGCCTGGAACCGCAAGGGACCAGTTACCATGTGTGCCACGAGGAGGCTTGTACGAGATCTTGGCAGTGGAGAGGCTATGTACCGGCTGAGGAGACTTACACACTCGGCTCCTCTTTTCGAGGGCATCAGGGCATTTCCACTCATCGATGGGCCTGCATGCCACGTCTCTGGGGCCCACTTCTGCTCCGAGATCCCGTACAACTTAGCCTGGAACCGCAAGGGACCAGTTACCATGTGTGCCACGAGGAGGCGTGTACGAGATCTTACGGACTACGGGGTTGAGCACACACACACACACCTGATAACAGTCACACACACACACAAACACACACAGGAGTCACAGGGCCCATGATGTTTTAATACTAACAGGACGTGTATAACTGTTATCAGCTGAATTATTTGTGTGATGTTGTTTGTTTGAATGTTTCCAGACGCTCCAGAGCCGATGGGATTTGATCAATAAAGCGCTGAGTGTCCCGTTCAGCTCCGCTCATGATGTGAAGGTGATCTCACTGCTCTCTTCTTATTAATTACACACATAATTGCTTGATTTGAGTGTGTTCATTCTGTGTCAGTGTGTGTACATAATTAGCTATCATTTGAGGACAAATTTACTCTCAGAAATGAATCAAATATGACACAACGTTCCTTTGGAGACACTGATTCTGAAAAAAAAGATTCATACTTAAAATAAATTCTAAAAATGAAAAAAGGTTTGGGTTAATCAGTTGGCATTATAGTAAATCAATATAAGTCTATGTCTTGACCTCATTAAGGTAAGTGATGAATGAAAGAATGAAAGGTGTGTTGTAGTTTTCTGGTTTTGTCCAGCTGATGGCAGCAAACATCAGTGTATGAGGAACGAAAGCCAAACTCACTGCAGATCATTAGACAGAAAATACAAGTGCTGCTGCTTATTTTGACATTTATTTCAAGAACTGAACTGTTTTTTAAATATATATATTACTCTCTAGGATGCCATATTGAAATATAATACGGGCCAAGCGAAGGGATGGAACTTCACAGCACTTAATGTCTACTGTAAGGTAAAGACACACCTGTAATGAACACACACACACACACACACACACACACACACACACACCTGTTGGATATTGTGCAGAGAAGCTGATGGACAGTTAAGTGTTTGTTTCTGTTTTCATTGGTTAACTCTAACCTTTACCTGCCAAACCTGGTGTCAGCCTCAGCGGCGGTCTGTTAATGATGTTCGTTTGTGCAGTAATGAGAGTCTCTTTACTCTGATGTTTTATGAAAGGTCCTGAATGTTTTGTGTTAGACAGCGATTGTAAAGATGTATGTGATGTGTTTGATTGACAGGTTCAGTTTGACGGATGGGAGGAGAGGGCGGGGCCTTGTGAGTTTGATTGACAGCGCCTGATTGTTTGTTTTCTCTCTGAACAT